TCATCAGTTCACCGTGGAGCAACCTCTAGTTCTTGCTGAGCCTAGAGAGGCAGGAAGCTGAAGTGAATCAGGGTAGCTGGGATTCAAAGCAGCACTCCTAAACACGGTAGTACCCGCCCCCATTAGTCATTTCAAAGTTCAGTTTTCAGAGGACCCATTTTGATCTTGATGATTTCTGATTGGATATGTTATAATTAATATAATTTTGATGATTTCTGATTGGATTGCTAAGTAGAGCTGGGTAAGTGCCTTCTAAAGAGGTCTGAAATAAGTTGTTTTATGTGCAAGAATGGCCTCTTAGAGAGTAAATATTTCCTTGTGAAATATTCCTGTGAACTATTCACAGTGCCTGTGAAACTGTTTTTGGTCTGAATACCAGAATGGTAGGAATTCTTTAAAGTTTGTGGTAATTTCTTGATGAGCCCCAGTTTCTGACCATTGCATCCCAAAGAAACGTCACTCTCTCACCCCTTCCCGAGAAGGAATGCGCATCACGCAGCAGCCGACGTGGGTGAAGGGGCTCTACAGCTGTCTTCTCTGTGCTCTGGACTTGTCCTGAGGGCCGGCTAAGGAAGGCTTTGTGCAGAACGGCATTGACGATGCAGCCAGGATGTGCGCAGGCATCAGCCGGGGCCCAGGCCAGCAGGCTGCCAAGGAGGGAGGACCTCATGGTAAACTGAAGAGTGTAGTTGGGGGAGGGCATGGTGGATTTTCCATGCTAAAAACACTCACCACCTGCTGTGTGCACGTGGGGGGTGAGACAGAGGGAGAAAGACAAGCGGACGGCCGTGGGGTTTTCTTGGGAAGCCAGGAGGAGGATGGTGGTCCTTGAAGCTCTCACAGTGGTGGCAGTGGAGAGAGGAATTTACAGACACTTACAAAGTCATGTTTTGCTGACGCTGCATGCCCAAGAATAAAAGTAAAGACCCAGTAGAAACTTGGGGTAGGAATAGAAACTTGGGGTAGGAGTTGAAACTACCAAGTAGGAGGAAAGGTCCGTCGTGATGCCGTTGTCCGTGAGCGCAGCCCTCCCGGGTCCGAGACTGAAGTGTGCAACATTTGCAGGGCTCTGCTGTGCCCCGCAGTAGCAGCCCGTGCGGCGCGATGGCCAAGGGGCGGGCCGTAGCCCGGGTAGCCACTGAGCCGTGGCCTCGCTCCTGACACCACCTCAGGCTTCCAGCATTGCAGACACACCGACTTGTTCAATAGTGTCTGTTGCAGAAACGTGAGTGAGTTCAGTGCCGTAGCTTCAGAACAGAGCCAACCTGAACAGTTGGAGTTTGGTTGGTTGATAGGAGGGAGGCAGCAGAGGTGATGGAAGGAAAACTAGATGATGGAAAATTAAGAGACTTCCGTCTGCTGTTCTCCCTGGAGTGGTGACAGTAAAACCCGCCATTTTTCCTCAGAACACTGTCTGTGGATAATGCATATGGAACTGCTTTTATGGGGTTAAGATGCTGTAAATAACTTAAACCTTTCAAAAGAAGTACAGTCGTGTCATGGGAACATAAATGCCACAAAGGCTGGGACTTCTCTTGGGTGCTACTGCATCCCAGGCTCTGCGTAGTGCTTGGCCCGGGAATGAATGAGCATGAACAGAATTCGCACAAGCAAGCATCTCCCCTTCAGTATGGTTTGCGTGTGGTTTCTGCCCTGAGACAGTCACATGGGTTTTCCCAAAGCCTCCACTAGATGTCAGGAGCGTTTCCCTGTGTTCCTCCTGCAGAGGGGCCGAGAACATGGAGTAAACAAGATTCATCAAAGAGTCCCCAGCACTTGCATTGGAAACAAAACCGACTCGCTTAGCAACTCTCAGCACTTCTGCCTTCTATGTCCCGGAGAAATCAGGGGCTTCTTTTGGTTGAAACGTTTTCCTACAATTCCCAGCTCTTGATATC